GCCCCAAAGCAAAAAAAGAAAACCCCTTCCGAAAAAAAAAAAAAAAAAAAAAAAAAAAAATGTAGATTCCTGGAATCCATTACTAGAAATGGCCTTGAGTAAGTCTAGTGAAGGGCCCTTCACAAGCAAATCTGATGATGTGTTCACTCTGAGGAACATACTTGAAGAATTCCGTTTCCCTGTTACAACAGAGGACACCTCACACAGCAAATGATATTAGTGACTAGGGCATATGACATGCTTGGTCCCACATCCTGCATCAGACAGTAAGACAGGGCCATGATGAGTAGAGATTTGGAAACAGGCACTCAGCCTAGATCTGCATTTTGCAAAAGATAGGATAGTACAGGAGATGCGACACGTGGTACGGAGCAAGAGGACCGAAGTCCTGCCACTTTTTATCCTGCCACTTTTTAGCCTTTTGTCTGGATGAGTTAACGCTGCCCAGCTTTGACTCCCTTACCTCTGAGAAGTGATGGCAAAGTTATATGTAGTCAGGATGGTGCCTAGCATATGGCACACACTAAGGAATGCTAATGGTAAGTAAGATGAATTAACTAAACTTTCTAAGTGGGCCACTCTAAAATAAAATGTAGATTATAACAAAAAAGGCTAGTAAGTGTATGGAAGAACCCCCAAATAGTAGGATTAGCTCAAGGTAGTTCTAGGATTTAGGGACATCTTGCCCTCAAGAGTCTGTGTAATGCTTTGGATTCTCAACATAGTATGGACCACATAGGAAAAACGGATAGCTTCCATGGCAGTCAGTGGCGAACAAGAAAATGCCTGCTTCCATAAACAGTATTAGAAGACCTAGTCACAGCAATTAGGCAAGAAAAGGAAAGTGATGCTCCCCAACAATATATCATTCATGGAGGAAATACACAGAAGTCTGTTAGAACTAATAAGAGAATTCAGCAATTTAAAAGGAAAGGTCTCAGGAATTTAGTTCTATTATAGCATGAAAAAGGTAGAATACTCAGGAATACACTTAACCAAGGAGGCAAAAGACAGTACATACACTGAGAAACACACAATATTAAGGAAATAAAAGGATATGCCAATAAATGGAAAGATGCCCAATATTCATAACTATAAAGCATGTTTTGTAGATAACCATACTTCAAAAGATCAGTAATTTAATGCACTATTTTTTTCACAGAAACAGAAAAAAAATCTATTCTTAATGGAATCTGAGGGCACCTCAAATTGCAACCAAATTGGAAGTCCTCCTGACTCTGTTTTTCAAATAGCAGCTCAAAAGGAGAAAATAGATAAGGTGACTATATCAAACTAAGAAGCTTTTGAAGCAAAGGAAATAATGAGCGGAGAAAAGACAACATACATCAGTAAGAGACAGCATAGAGAATGGGACAAAATACTGAAAATGACTGATCCAACAAGGGATAAATTCCTGGAATATATAAGGCACTCTAAAAGTTGAGTAGCAAAAATGCAGTTAGAAAGTGGACTGGAGCTAGGCATTGGTGGTGCATGCCTTTAATCCCAGCACTTGTGAAGCAGTGTCAGGTGGATCTCTCAGTTCAAGGCCAGCCTGGTCTATAGAGTGAGTTCTAAGATAGCCAGAGCTACACAGAGAAACCCTGTCTTGAAAAATAAAAAAAATAAAATTAATTAAAAAAAAAGGAAGGTGGGAAGAAGGAAGGGGGATGACTTGAAAGGATGGTGCACAACTTTACTCTTAACCCTTGAGAGGTATAGACGGGAGAATCACCAGTTCAAGACCAGTCATGGCTACCTAGTAAGATGTCTAAAAAACAAAGACTCCAAATAGCCAAGAAGTACAAAAAATACTCAGTATCACCAACCATCAAAAAATGCAACTCAAAACTGCAGTGAGCATCCCACCTCAGAAGGACTATCTCCAAAACGCATCAGTAAAGTGAGCAGTCCATGCTGCCAAGGGTGCAGAGGGAAAGGATCTCTTATGTGTTGGTAGGGCAACAGGGCCCTACCTAAAGCAGACGGAAACTGCAAGTACCATGTGATCCAGCAAGTCTAACGGTTGGTATATATCTGAGATATAGCCATTATCCTAAAGAGACACTTCAATAATGGGATCAACCTAGATTCCCATAGATAAAGACAATATGAGAACCACATAGCCATAAAGAGCATGGAATACTAAATCCCCTAGTTAATCTGCCTACCTGAATGGGTTTCTCCAGAACTTTTGAGCTTTGACACAACTAAAGTCTTTCAGGTCCCTGAGAATGGCTACAATATTATAATGTTGAAAAGCATTCTGGTAAACTTCCAATTAAAGTTTCACTGTAACTAGTTTTAAGAACTTGAATCTTGAGAATGTAAACAGCATTGGGTTTTTTTTAAATGGACTGTGGCACAGAATCTCAGGCAAAGGATGTCATCAAGTATTTCACATGCAAGAAATGAACAACCACAAATAGGCTTGTTTAAAAAAAAAAAAGCTGGGGGTGGTGGCACACACCCTTAATCCCAGCTGCCTGCCCAGGAGGCAGAGGCAGGTAGATCTCTGAGTTCAAGGCCAGTTTGTTGACAGGACTAGAACAGGACTTCACAGGACACACCCTCTAAATCAGACACATCATCACCTCTCGCCCTAGAACATTTGTCATGGATACATTCTGGCGGTAGAATGTCTAGCCTGAGAACATTAGGGAGTCTAAACTAGGAAGACTCCCGACCTGTCCCAGGGTGTTCAATATTCCAGCTGTTTAGTGCTTACTAGTCCTCAGAAGTTAAAAATTCTGTAAACCTGAACAAAAATGTTAGGGTCTACAAAATTACAAAACAGGGGCGAAGGAAGAACTCAGAATCAAAAGATGGTTGTCCTCTCGGCCCCGAGGGCACCCTTACCCACGCCTGCGTTATTGAACATGCCGGGAAGCACCAGCATGATGTGGTTGGGCCAGTACTTTCGGTACAGTGGCATCTCATATTCTTTGACCACTAGGAGGTGAAGGTGGCTGATGCCCTCCATGGCATGGAAAAGGTTTAGGAGTCCGTGCTCGTGGCGGCCGCTGGAAGGAGTGAAAATAGGGCTCTTGACTGCATTTAGATTCTGTGAAAGAAAACAAATGAGAGCAAAATGGGAGAGAAAAACCCTCAGCTGCGAGCATCTTGGAGGACCCCATGGAAGGACCATCAGCCCTCACCCAGAACCTCTAGCCCACCTTGTCTGAAACCAGCGGCAGCCGCATGCTTTCCAGGTGTCTGCCCTGCTTACTGAAGACAAAATGACTCTCTTTGGACTTGGGAATGATGAAGTAGAGCTGGACTTCTTCTCCCAGCATCGAGGAAGAAAATGTGAACGCATGCAGGGTAGAGTCAGACATCTGGATTTGCAAAAAAGAAAGAGGAACGGTCAGTCTATGGTTCCCAAACTTCCAGGCCATTTTAGATTTTTGGCATAAGCAACTGGTAAACATAAGCGCCACCAGACATCCCGGCTGTGAGGAGCAGCTGTGAGGAGCAACGTGTAGACGGCTTTATCATTTACTTGCTGTCACTGATGGAGAGGAGTCAAGTATGGAGCCCTGATAAAGCTTTTCTGAGGAGGAAAAGTCACACTTGACATTGTCTATCTTTATTCCTCATAGGTTTAGTACCTTGACAAATGTTCACTCTAAAGACAAATGTCCCTATGTGCTGCCCTGCTGTATACACATTTCCCCAAAGAACCCAGGAACAGAGACCCTTCTGCTCTGAGTCAGACTGAACACTTTTAAGTTTCAGCTCGTGGAGAATAGGGCTAGAATTGAAAATGTGCCTGTGGTTCCATCTTTTCTTGTTAAGTGGAAGGCAAAGCGTTTCCAACATTTAGTGAGTAACTCTGATAGCAGGGAGACCATGTGACTTGTATAAGGCAGTATAATCTAACCTGTCTGTAAAGGTTACTTTGAAGTTCGAATGCTCAGCAATCCACTGCCATGAGTAATTATAAAATAGCTCTTTCAGTCATACAATGAAGCCAATAATTGATTTAATGGAAGGACAACATTTTCATCAGCACCTAAAATCCAGGTAGGTTTCCTAATAGTTTTAATCTAAATATTACATTTCAGAAAAAAATAATAAAGTATGTTCTATATCACAAATGTGGGGATATATTACTTGTATTGTAATCATACAGAAATTATGTCAAGAGGGACTTTTTAAGCAGAAAATTTCTAAACCCCTATAATTTATAGGCCAAGGCCCTTGTGTCTTCTATGTCCTATGAGGAATTGTGAACAGGGCCAGTGGGATGGCTCAACAGGGGAAGGGGCTTTGCCACCGATTCTTAGGGCCCACAATGGTAGAGTGAGGGAACTAATACATGCATGCACGAACACACACACACCATTTAATTAAATTGCCAACAGACTAGTAGCTGTCCAAGAAAACAAATGACATAACAGGTAACTTGTAGCCAGTTTTCAATGTGTTGTTTCTAATACCCATTGGTCAGGATGTCCTTTCAAGGGGAGGTGTGGTCCTGAGGAGAAGCAGGTTTGGGGAATTCGCTCAGCACAGCCTAGAAGCAACAGGATCCCAGTGCTCAGTGCCAAGACACAAACTGAAGAAGAGAATGGGGAAATGATAGGCAGCTTCTCCTGCAAAGTAGGGGTGCTACTATCAACTGCTGTCTCCTCCTTGTGTGTGTAAGGATGCACTAGACAAAAAGATGCCAAAGGGGGTGATGGAAGGTGTTCTTATTATTTGCAGGGCCCTGAGTTGTATTCATAATGACCAAAATATGAGAAAATAAAACCAGGCACCGTAGGCATGCCTATAATTCCATTCAGTATGCAGGAGGGTTGGGAATTCGAGGCTAGCCTGGAACACTGAGTTCCTGTACCCAGAAGGAAATCAGAGGAAGAGACAGCTGCCAAGTAATAGTCTACATTGTTTCCCCAGGGCCTGAAGCTAGGGGTCTCAGGTCTCCTGTCCGTCTCCCCAAGGACACACAGGGTCCATACTGAACAGAGTTCCTAGGCAAAGGCAAACCGGCTGCACCTGGGAGGTGGAAGTGAAGTCCATGTACTGGTGGCACTGCTCACAGTGGTGGAAGGTGTTGTAGGCCGCATACTTCGTCAGCATCATAGACACGGTTTCTCGTTTCCGGGGCTCCTCAGCTTTGTATTCCTTTATTACTTCTGTGTACAAGGGGATGAGAAACTGTTATCTCCGTGACACACAAGTAAAGCTTGGGAAGAAATGCTCATTCCTCTTACGGACTTCTCAAAGGACTGTATCATTTGAGCCCCGATGAGCAAGTATAAAAATCAAGATGTGTGTGTGTGTGTGTTCATGTGTAAGAGTGAAAAACGGAATGTTGCACTCTTGTCAAAGGAGTGGCCTGTCTCCCTCCCCACCCTGGGCCCTGAGCCTGGCTCTATACACACTGACCTTGTTTGACCCCAGCCAGCTTCTCACTGTAGACCAGGCTCATCACACTGTACTTGGGATCGTGCACACTGACGTCAAAAGGCATTTTGCTGAAAGTCTCAATGTCAGGCCAGGGATCTCCCTCTGACTGGCTCACTCCGCTGGTTTCATTGTTATCTAGGGCAAGGCAGGGCACAGGATGGTGGGTCCACCTCCTTTCCTCCCCCACCTCCTCCTCTCCATGACCGTGCAAAGCCTGGGCAGAGTGCGACAAAGCACTTCGGAGACACGAGCTCTCTTTTTTGTTTTTATTTTTAATTTATTTATATGAGCATTGATCGGTGTTTTGTCTGTGTCAGATCACCTGGAACTGGAGTTAGACAGTTGTGAGCTGCCATGTGGTGCTGGGAATTGAACCTGGGTCCTCTGGAAGAGCAACCAGTGCTCTTAACCTCTGAGCCATCTCTCCAGCCCCAAAGCAAGCTCTTATCCCAGAGTAGAAGGAACCAGAACCATTCCTTCAGACTTTGGCCAGGAAGGGGATTTCCCCCTACTAACCCTGATTACTTCACAAACTCACCAGCTCAGTTCACAGATTCCTATCCCATAAGACCCAGAGTCTTCCTGTGTTCCTTAAACACACTTATTTGGATGATCAAAATCTTCAGCTTTAGCTGTGGGATGATTTTGTTCTTGTTCCTTCTCAGTACTGGGACTTCCTGCATCACATGTGCCAGGCAAACCCTCTACCATTGAGCCATGGCCCCAGCATTTTCCGTAGACATCTGAGACAAGGATTGCTAATCTCGGTTGTCAGTTTGACTACATTGGATATCAGCTACAACCCATGCAAATGGGCACACCTGTGAAGGGTTTTCTTGATTGGCTCATTTGAGGTCAGAAGATCCACCTTAAATTTGGGTCACACCTTCTCGTGACAGTGGACACCAAAGGACATGGAAGAAAGGACCTTTTGCTTTTTGCCTGCTTGCTCTCACTCTTGCTAGCAAGTTCATCCATCCTGCTGCTGAGGCATTCCTTCCTACTTCTTTTGGATTCCACTGTAGACCAAAGACCAGCTGAACAGCTGTCAAATTGTTGGCCTTTCTATCAGGGCTCTCTGATGATATATTAAAAAGTGATTTATTAGCAATGCTAGACTAGGCAGACCACAGCCTGGGAGCCACTCTAATAAATCACTTTTTAATATATCATCAGAGAGTCCTGAGTAATACAAGGTTTTTACTAACTTGATGGGGTCCTAGGCAAGCCTTGCTGGCATTCCTTCCCCGACCTTAGCTGGGATGACAGCCTGGTGAGCAGGCCTGAAGCTGCCTGAAACTTTAGGATGCAGTGAACAAAAGTCCTGGTATATGCGTACATTAGAATTACCCGGTTGTTCTATACTCCAGCACACACTCATCCCCTCCCATCCCCCTCACAAGTCCCCAAGAGCAGCATAGTCAGCTTCCTTCCTCGGGTGCCAGCTGTAGCCTTCAAACATTTCCAGAGCTTGTCCCACACCTTGGTACTGTACCCGCTAGGCACAAACTTAAACCCCAGTGTACCAGCTTGTGCAGGTCTTAGAGACACAGGGATGGGGTATTCCAGGTGCTAGGACAGCACGGCAGCAGGCACAGATTCTGTGTGCAGTAGATGGTGTTCTTCATTATCAACAGGGGTGTTGAGGAGGCAGCTGCAGGCTGCCTCAGTAAGAAGGGTGCTTTGCAACCATAGACCCTTAGGACCCATGTGGAGAGAGAACTGACTCCCAAAAGTTGTCCTCTGTCCCTGCCCGTGGGCCCCTCCCATACATACATGCACACAATAAAATGTAAGGTTTTTGTTTGTTTTAAGTAGCATAAACTTCTTTGAGGGAAAGCCCAAGATTAGAAGTAAGGCTATTACTTCCTAACATAAATACCATTTGATTTCTCCGCTGTTACAGCTTGCATTGCAGTTGGCACTGTTTGCAGTTGCAAGCATGTTCTACTCAGGAAGGGTCTTATGCCTCCCAGTGCACTTACAACTCAACCCTCCCCAGAGGCCCTCCTGTTGGGTGGCAAGTGACAGAGAAGCTTTGGCATCCCAGGGCGGGCGTGGGGGGATTGCAGGATCTCTGTAGCTGCATGTTGGGTAAAATCAAAGGCTGTGATACCAAGGAGTTCAGTGCAGAGCTGGCAAGAACCACAGGGTTTTACCAATCACGGCAATGAACCTACATACCTACCAAGGCTGATGAGACCCCCGGTGCGCAGCTGCAGCTTGCTGCTGCTGGAGAGAGGCCCCCAGAAGCTGAGAGCCACCGTTCACTTGTCTCCAGTCCATGATGGCTCTGCAGCTTAGGACAAAGCGGCCTTGGCTCTCGGCTCTCATGCCTTGGTCATAAAGTCAAGCCTCACCTGTGTTTATCTCCTCCTCATCATACACGTCCACCTCTAGCAGCCGGATGAGCATGCGGAAGAGAATCCTAAGGAACTGCAAATAGGAGGCAGTCTTCCCCACCTGATGGAGGCATTGTTAATCCAGGAAGGGGCGAAGAGGGGAAGAGAGGGAGAGGAAAAAGAAAAGAGATTTCTTTCACACTTTGGCTCTTTAACTGAGGTCTGAATGAGGTCATCTGCCATCCCTACCAACCCCCAAGATGTCCCCCAACAGCCCAGACATGTTCTGCCCTGGTCTCTCCCTACCTGGGGGGGCCCAGTGAGCAGCAGCCGCCTGGGGTGCAAGGTCCGGGTGCCTGAGGCGGGGTCTGGCTGGTTGCTGTAGTCAGCATGGTGCTGCCGGGCCGAGGTCCACTGGCGGTTGAAAAGGGACTGCTCCTCGCTGCTCATGTCCTTGTGCAGGCCTGGCCGCAGGGAGCTCACCCAGGCTACATCAGCGTGGGGTAGCAGGGAGGAGGAGGGTGGCAGCCTGCCGCCCTTCTGGGATCCCAGCAGGCTGTATGCCGCTTTGGATAAGATCACCACTGGGGGCAGGGCTGTGGGCAGGCTCCAGCAGCCTCTGGGGGGCTGCCCTGACCACGTAAGAGCCTGCGCACTGGAGGATGAGGACGAAGAAGGCTTGGAGGTAGTGCTGCTGGCCATCGGAAGGCCCAAAGAGTCACACTCCTGCTTCAGGCTCTCCCCAGGGGCAGCAGTGCTGGCGGAGACTCCTTCATCCAGCCGCACGCTGGGGGTGGGGCTCTGGAAGCTGGGGGTCAGAGGCTGCTGCTGGGGTTTGTCGGCTGTGCTAGACGAACTCACCCCGTTCTCCATGATGGAACCTGCAAGAGGACAGTGGAACTCATCCTATTCCCATCCCTCCCTGATGTCAAGGTCAGGAGGTAAAGGCTACCGAAAAAATCAACAAACTGAAAAAAGCTTTTGGACTGCAGATGGCGATGGAATATTTACTCTGCCTCCGGCTCCACACTGCTCCCTCCTGTTCCCTTGCCCTGGCTTGTGGGTAGGCTTGACCCATGAGAGACACACGCTAGAAGTTGGTTCTATCTCCCCTGGCTTCCTTCCCACATTGTCCCCTGGGAAGCCAGGCCTGGTTTGCAGGGTCACTAGATCCCAGTACTTTGTCACCTGTTGTCCCTTTTCTAGAGCCTTCCAACATTTTTGGAAGTAGTCCCTCTGCTAAAGTCTCTCCCCCGCCCCTGCCCCCAACCTCCTCTGTCAGATGGTTCCACAGTTAAGTCCATAGCCATTTCCTAAATCAGGGTAGGAATGTTTCCATGGGGTTGGGTAGAAAGGAGACCTGCAGAAGAGGAGTTGAGAGTATCCAGTTTCTTTACTTTTTCTGTTAACTTTAAGCAGGCTTCCCTCTGGTGGATGAGCCTCCTGATACTCATGGCTGAAGATCCTCTCTGAGCTCAAGAGGTGTTGTTCAGCCATGCAGGTCAAATCCCAGCTATGGGACCTTCACTTGTTAAAAGCAAACCTCTCTTGCACTGGAGAGATGGCTCAGAAGTTAAGAGCATAGATTGCCCTTGCAGAAGCTCCAAGTTTAGCTCCCAGCACCTATGTCAGGTGGCTCACAAATGCCTGTACCCAAGGCCTCTGGCCTCTGTGGACATTCATGTGCACGCCCTCCACACTGGACACATACACATAAATTAAAGATAATAAACAGTGCTTTTCTGAAAAAGAAAACTTTATGCTCCTGTGACTGTGGGGGCTTCCAAGTGTTGGGATCAGGTTACCCTGCTCTTGTTACTCCACAGTGTCTATAAAACAGTGCTCTTCATTCCATTTTGAGGGCGAAGGATGAGTGCATCCCTGCATGGGCTGAGAAACTGCACTGTCGGCCGGCCACCACCCACCCAGCACAGAATGACCAATGACTTATTCCTAGAAGTAGGAAGGGAGCTGCCCTGTAAGTTTATTTCGTGAACTGAAACTGTACGGGACATAAGTACATTAAAAATCCTATAGAACTTGGATGTGCCAGACCAAGGAGAGGATACCCCTTGTCTCTTCCTGACCTCATATTCCCAAGCTCTTAGGTTTGACAACCCCCTTTCACTTTGTTACTTTGCACTGTCCTCTAGCTTTTCTGAGATGCTTTCAGGAAAACTGAGGAGCCTGCAGTGGTGGAGTTGAGTCGGGGGTGATGAGAGGTAAACAAGCTGACCCTGCTGAGGGTCTCATGTCCCTCCGGGCCTTGGGTCACTGCAGACAGGAGGCCTACAAGCATGGAATCAGCCAACAACTGCTGGCGGAATCAACAGGAACGCTGGTGCTACTCTGGGTAGAAGTGTGTGCCTGCTTGCACGTGCATGCCCAGGCAATGACCTCATCTGCATGGTAACTCAGAGTATGAGTGGGACACTTTTGGAGGGGGTGTTTCAACACACTCTCTTCCTTGTACTTTGACACATCTTCTACACTAAGCTTTTTTATTTTCATAGTCAAAAAAGTATGGAAGCGGGGCTGCATTTGCTCTATTACAGTTTACGAGGCTTTGCAGTCTCCTAGTAGCCCCTGGAGAGTGTGCCAGGAAGAACT